TGTTCACTTTAAATAACATAACGCTGAACACAGATCAGCAGACCCCCGCGGATTGGCATTTTCATAAATCCAAGGTACTGGAAAGACCGCGTGTCTATTACCGTCAGCTGCCCGATCCGCAATGGCTGGGCCCAGTACCTCTAATCACTTGGGGTCGGGGATATGCTGCTGTGTCTCTCCCTGCAGGTTCCGGTTGTGGGTTCCGGCCCGGTGTGTGCGACCGGCACTGAAGCAGCATGGCGTGGCTCCAGGGACTATCGAACCCCATACCGGAGTTTCAGCTGACTCTGGAGGAGAGCGCGGTGCCTCCCGGGTCGACAACGATGGGACGAAAACGGAAGAGGCGTAGCGTCCCAAGCCAGCCCGTGACATGGGGAGCAGTAAAAGCATTGGTCGCCGCGACTCAATGATGACTGGCAGCAAACCAACAGCCAGAGACTCCTGAGACTTTGTGGCAATTCTTGCCCAAATTACTGCTAATTCTATATTGATTGTATGCCTTTTGTGCCTGCTATTTCCTGTAGGGGTTGGCTCGGGAGCGCTTTCTCCGTTACAGGGCCGAATGACATATAACCTATGGGAAAGATTGGCATCAATAGCAAATGTTACCCACTTTTGTTTATCTGATTCTGTAGCAGCCGGAGAATTGTTAGGTACATGCCTTATTCCAGTATGTCATCACCCTGAGTAAATAGGGAATGAGACGATGCTCGCTGCTTACGCGAATCTCTCTTCCCAGTACTCTGGCATGGCTAATTGGGGCCCGGCCAACTATACTTTGCCTCACACGGCCATATCCCTCCACACACCGTACCTGGCTGGGGCCAACAATGTCACCTGTGCGCGTGTGGTTAACTGCACTAGTACAAAGGTTCCCTTGGGCTGTCGGCAAATTTCTCAACCCCTTTTAAATTGTTCCCACACCGTGAATGTTTCGTACAATTATGGCCATATCATCCTACCATCAGGGTGGTTTTTTACCTGCGGCTCACGCACCTTTAGTTATATTCCCGCAAATTCAAGCGATGGCACCCTTTGCTGCCTCAGTAGAATGACGCTCATTCTGCCTTTTGCCGGCCAAAAGCGCAGTAAAAGAGGTGTACCCCCTTCAGAAGACTGTGTTGCAGATGTTGATCTTTTCAGTCGCGCTGAGTATACCGCCTTAGCGGCCTCTTTTGTTGGAGTCCCCTGGGTTGCCACTTATACAGCCAGAACTTTGAATACCCTGGCGTGTTTTGCGGCAAAGACAATTAATACAACATCCCAGGCGATTGCCCTACTTAACACAGAGCAACACGAATTAAGGGATGCAATTTTAGATAACAGAGCAGCCATTGATTTTCTGCTCTTGAAACACCATCTAGGCTGTTCCACGTTTCGGCATATGTGTTGTTTTAATTTAACTGATAATAGTCGCTCCATAGAAACTAGACTGGCTGAATTGACCAATCTTACGGCACACATACGCCAAGATTTGGGGTTTGAGGGCTTTAGGAATTGGCTTACAGGTTGGCTGCCCTCTCTAGGATGGCTGCGACAACTTTTCGGTTATGCTGTGTTTGTGATTGTTGGGCTTATATTTTGCTGCTGCTGTATACAATGTATTCCCTCTTTGCTAAGGCTTTGTAGAGACCCACCCTGGCAGGCTCCCCGAGTTATGTCCTTGTCTGTCCGGGAGTTAAATCGCTTGCAAAACAAATTGATGGCTACCATGAGGTGGCCGAGCACAAATAACAAAAAAAAGGGGGGGATGAAGGGTTCATGTAGCGTTCATGCACCTGAAAACAGTCAGGGCACACCCTGACTGTTGTGTAGGAGCGATGCACACATTGCTCTGTCCAAGGACGTGGACCATGGGAACATGGACCATTGGAAAGTCAATTAAAGGACATCAACCGTGGGAAGCTTCCTTGGCCTGGGCTCAAGGCCTGAGAACAAAGATTGTAGTAGATAGAGGCTGGTAAATAAGAATATTAATCAAAGTCATATTATTTCCTTTGTTGATGCCTTTTGCGGTCGGAGTATGTAATGCGCAGGGGGGAGAGAAATAAAAGAGAGGTGGAAAAGCTGACAGGGGCAATCCCGTCAGCAGACCAGCCTGCTTGCTTGCCTAAAGCTGTGTCCTGTCTTGTATTGAACCGCCACAAGTATGTTTGATCCACTGGAGTTCTCCATGTATTGCTTGCATTTGTAAGGCTCTGAAAAGGTCTTGATGTTATATCCTTGGATGAATTGGCAGGGGAAAATTAACTATGATTAGGTGATAATGTGTTCTTATTTGTATACGGTTTCATCTGAAATCTTTATTTTCATTTCTGGCTGTATGAGGATTACGTTTTCACACTGGTTTATGCTGAGTGATTTTTCAGTCATGGTAAATGTTCTTGAATTTTGTCCTCTTGAAAACTTCTTTTGGAACCTTTCACCATGCCTTTAGTTGTCTACTTTCTGCAGATCTCATAAATTAAACAGACGGGTCATACTCATGTTTGGAGTGATTTTCAGGGATCTCGGAGGCAGGGCCGTCCCTAGCTATTTTGGTGCCTTTCGCAGCCCCCCAGGCCTCTGTGGGGAATGGGGGCTGGCTACTTCCTGCAGGAAGTGAAGGGACCTGGCCCCAGCCTGCTCTGCTCCCCTGGCTACTAGGCTTGAGGGGAGGGGGGAACCGCCCCGCAGCACTCGCTGGTGGCACGGCTGGGAGCCAGGGGAACGGAGCAGGCTGGGGCCGAGTTGCTCCACTTACCATGCCATGCGTGCAGGGTCGGGCCTGGCTGCCATCTTCAGGGGGCTCGGGGTGGGGCTGGGTGGGGCAGGACGAGGAGGGGCTGGGGCAGAGAAGGGGCGGGGGCCTAGGGAAGAGCCAGAGCAGAGGCTGGAGCAGCACGCAGCTGGGCTGGGCACCAGGAAATTTGGGGAACCAAATTTCCTGGTGCCCTACGCAGCTGCGTGCTTTGCATATGGGTAAGGATGGCCCTGCTCGGAGGTGCTGCGGGAAGTGATGCTAATGATTCAATAGGCGACACTTTTCCCTGTGAATCTAGTGAAATGTAAAACAATGGTCCTATCCATTGGATTATATGTCACTTTCCACAAGAGGCGTTGCCTGTCTGAGTCACAGGTGAAATTCAAGGCTTTCACAGGGAATTTTCCCATTTGGAGCTGAAATTGGTGATGTGGAGTCAGAAATTTCATAGTTAATTTATTTTAAAAATTTACACAAGCTCTGTTTCTTTGGACAGTAGTAGGAACAAACTGCATGTAGACAACTCCCTTTTGCAGGGATTCCAGGTAAGAAACCACTTCCATGTCCCAAGAGCTTTTCAGATTCTCATGCAGAGACCACACCAAACTCAATATGACTGTTCAACACCCCCTTCATTCAGCTCTCAACCTCTGAGTTTGAAAGCTAGGATTCCTTGTTAGCTGACCCTTGGACTCAGGGGTCCCATACTACTTTGATTCCCTGCATATGACTTTAATAGCCTAATACAGGGTTCAAAAGAATGACGTGAATAGGATGTGTTTGATGAAGGTCTTCAACCTCTTTGTGGAAGATGAACAGAAATGAAAGGGAAACTTACCTGCAAATTTCCTGAGCTTCTAGCATTTAGATTTTCTTTTAAAACATTCTGCTGTTATTTTAAGTGTCAATATTCAGAACCTTCATAATAAATAAAATTCAAAATAAAAATAAAGATTTTTGGTTTTGGGAATAGACTTACATTTCTGCACTCCCCAGTTGAGCAATTTCTATGTAAAATTCATCATTTCAATGCAATAATGAATATGAAAAAGTTTTAAACTTAGATTTTTATATTCACAACATAATTCTTGGCTTCCTGCGTCGTCCTTTTGGGATACCATTACATCAGTGACTGTATTGGAATGTGATATATGCAGCTGCATTAGAATCAGGAAGTGAAAACAGAGTTGGGAACTAGAAATAACTGGCCAACATCAATACACTTCAAAAGTATGTGTGTAGAGAAGTTCTTTAACCAGAAATGAAGCAGTTGCTTTCATAGGTCTTGAGAAGCAGCAAGTGTATTTGTATAATTTAACAGTCATGTTTTACAGCACTGAATTAAGTCTACTCTTATGATGTGAACATTACATGGCAGTTCATTTTGGTTGAAACTGCAGCCAGCCTGATGTTCACACTGTGTCCTACACAATGAACGGAGATGCTGAAACATTGCCCTTTTAAGGAAGGGGAATGGGAGGAATTCTTGCTTTTTTATTGTAGGGTTGTATTTCTCTAATTATGCAACTTATTTTTCCATTATATTTTGTATTATATATATATATATATATATATATATTGTTTCTGGCTTATTTCCACCGAAATTACTAGAGATTCTGCCCTTCATTTCAGCTCGGAACAAGATCTAGCCCTATAGGTATAGTGCCACCACACACTGGTGGACGTTTCGGATTTCCCCCAGCGTCTCATGCAGTTTTGCAGGGAGTTAGCATCACCGCCGTTAAGCAATGGGATACGTGAGGAAGCTTTAGCATCGCTGCTGCCTTGGCAAGCGGACAGCTCAGCGGCGAAGTTCCCATTGCCATCGAAGGTGGGGGCATCCGGCCTGACACGTGCCACCTCCTTAGGCCGCTAGGGCCAGGCAGGGCCCGGTGACGCCGAGGAGACCCAGCAGTAGGTACGTCTTGGGGGGCCGTGGCGCTAGCCCGGCCCCACCGTCCCGTGTCGAGCGGGCAGAGGTGCCCGCGCCTCGAGGGAGCGCGGACCACAGCCACCGCGGGAGGAGACCCGCTCGATCCGCGCAGGCGCACTGCTGCCCAGCACAGGCAGCAAGCGGGCCCGGAGAGACGAGGAGGGGAGCGTTCTGTCCTCCTGTCGCAGTTAGGCAGGCTGAGTGCGCCTGCGCGCTGGGGAAGTGGAGGAGGGCGGGGCTGTATTTTGAACGGCTGGATGCGGGTGGCTCAGTATTTGGCAGGAAGGTGAGGAGGCCTCTAGCCTGGCAGCAAAGCCTAGGCGGGGAGCGGTGGCTCCAAATGTGGCAGGGGAGAGCAGCAGGCAGCGGCGGCAGAGGAGGGGGGCACACGAGAGAAGGGGCGCAGCTGTCCCCGCGGCGGAGCTGAGCGGCCTGGCGAGGCAGGGGGGCTCCGGCAACTGCAGCTCTGGCACCCCCAGGCCGTCCGCCTGGCACCCCCGGGCCCCGCCCGGCCAGCAGGTGAGAGCGAGAGACGAGGGGAGAGGGGGAGCCTGTCGCGCCGCCCTTGGCCTGGCCCAGTACCAGGCCGAGCCGGAGGGAGTCGCTGTGGGGGGAGCCGGAGCCGCCGCTCCCAGCCTCCCCCTCCCCCGGGGCTGCCCTGAGTTATTCACTCGTAGCTGGCCCCGCCCCAGGGCCCCCTCCCCGCCGTGGCTGCTGCGCCTCAGCCTCGGGGCCCAGCTCTGTCCTGGGGTGTGCGGGGGAAGGCCCCGGTGTGACCTCGGGATCCGGGAGAGGGGTCCTTTGGCTGCCGTCCCCCCAATACCGTCACCCCCCCCGGGGCTGCACCTTCCTCCCCCGCTACCAAACTGCTAGCGGGGGGCCCCGCACGGGGGGAGGGGTCCCCCTCGCTGGCAAAGCCCCAGAGTCAAGCCCCGCTCCCAGTGGCGCTGCAGCGCGTGTGTTTGTCTCTCCCCGCCACCCTCCCGTGGGGCCGGGCGAGGGGGTGCGCCGCACGGGGGCTGGTGCCCCACTAGGGCACGCGGGGGGTGGGGCGCTGCTGTGGCGGTGGGACTGCGCCCGGCCCCCAGCACCGGAGCGACACACGGCGCTGCCGCTATCTGAGACACTCCGTGTGCGCGTGTGTGTGAGCGCGCCTGGCTCGGGCGCTGCTGGCTTCCTTTGTCTGCTGCTGCTGCTGCCGCCGCCGCGCTCCCCTCCTCCCTCTCTCGGTACCTCTCTCCCTCCCGCCCCCTCGCCCTTCCCCCTCCCTCCCTTCCTTCCCCTCTCTCCCAGACTCCAAGCGCTGCTGCAGCTGCAGGTTTGTAAATACTGGACCAACACACACACAACATGGCTGACGCTCGCCCTGCTCTTCCACCAGGCTCTCCTCCTCTGTCTCTCTCCGTTTCTTAATGTTTCAGTCGTACGTGCTTTTCTGTCTCTCCCCCCATCCCTAATCTCCTTCCCCATTTCCTCTCTTCCCCCCCCACCCAAAAAAAAAGGGAGGAAAAGCAATTCACCCTCCTTGCGCGCATGGCGGGATTTCAAGGGTAAGGATCCTTGCTTTGGAAGCTTTCTCCTTTCGCTTTGCTGTTTACAACAAAATGAAACCTAAAATCAGAGGGAGCCTGGCAAGGTCTGGGGCGGAGGGGGAGGGAGGTGAATGGGGTGAGCCCTGCTGAGAGAGGCTTGATTGGAATGTGCGTGTCTTTTTCTCTTTAGGGTGGGGGTGGGGGGGAAACTGATGCACCAAAATGTTGGCAGAGATGAAATACTCTGTATTGCACTTGCAGAATGCTCTAGAGCAGTTTCTTTTCTTTTTCTTTTTTAAAGAATGTGGCTCATTATAAAGGTATCAACCAATACAGTCACTTGAAAGAAGAACTGGATCACTTAGGTCAGAATGGGTGTTGGGTGGATAAAAATCATACTGTAGGCTCTTGGAATTTTTGGTTGTATCTTCTCTAATACAGTATCAATATCTTGAGGAGCTTTCATACCATAGGATCCAGAACTGGAAAGGAGGATTGCTGAATTCTCTTTTGCAATGCCAGGTGTGTTGTACAAACCTATTTGCCCTTGTGATGACCACATCATGGCTGAAGGATGTTTCCTTTATAAAAGAAACATGATGCTGGGTATGCCAAAAATCTGAAAAGAATTGAGAACTTTCAGTGTGCTGTGTTGAACTGCAACAAGAAAGCATGTTTCCTTCCTACTTGCTCTTGGACTCTGGATGGAGTCCTAGCACTGGCTAACATTCAGTCCCACACCCTGAGGCCTCAGTTATTCACAGCACCCCCTTCTGGCTTCCAGAAGAACGTCCTCAAATCAGTGTATAAATGATGATGAATTTCTAAACTAGACGCTAAAGTAATACTGTTTGAAGGCAATTTCTTGTGCATATTTTCCCCATTCTAAAGTGACTAGGAGTAGAGCTGAATTTTTTTCCTAGGTTATTTTGAACCTAGGAAAATGAAGATGCAAAAGCCTTTTAATAGTCACTTTTTAGTGTTTTCTAGGCCTCTTGCTACATGTTTTGTGACGTTAGTGGTAAACATTTCGTTTCCAAAGCTTAAATTTACAGTATAATGCTGCTGGTGTATTGTCTAAAATGAAGTTAACGTAGGTGAAACTAAAATTATTTCACTACCTGGGTAACATACACTGCAGATTTGTGTGGAATCATTGCAGTAACTTACTGATAGGCCTAACTTCCATTAATAAATATCTGAGTTGTGCTCCAAGGTAACATTTTAGATTTTGTAGTTTTTGATGGCCTGCTTTGCTTTGGAAGCTTCTGGTAGTTTCTGGAAGAGAAACAGACTGGTATATTTGCATTTGTATAGGTTTTAAGCGATAGTTTAGTGGAATTATATTTCTTGTTTTGGAATTAGGTATGATGTGTCATACTGGCTGTATAAATATTCTAATATTTGCATCTCTGTTACAAAATGTCAGTTGAGTAGAGGTGAGGTCCAAATTAGAAGATCATTTTGGAATAGGTATCTCTGTCCTCTATACTTCATACAATGGCAGTACTGCAAAATTAAGTTATTCCTTTAACCTCACAAGCTTCTTTATAGTAATATCTGTGGAACCATTAAAATGTTCTAGTAGTAGCAGGTAAATACTCCGAAGATGGCTGTGCATTATATATCAACCACACTTCAAAACTGCTATTAATTTTTGTATTTTTATATTAAAAGCCTGCATGTGTCCTGTGTGTATTCAGGTCCCCTCTCCTCCTTCGTCCTGTTGATACGCAGCTGCAATCTCATTGCAGAAGTAAAACTAATTTGAATGATGGACTTACATTGCAACTGTTTCAATGTAATATGAAGTCAAAATGTTTACCCATATAATTTATGTTGGAACTGGATCTTACTCTATAAAGCTAGAAACTAACTTTTCTTGCAGTTGAATAAATTTAGTTCACGGTTGCTTGGTACTGTTGTAGGTATCCTACAAGTCTTTTTGCATACCCTGTACACTTGACAACATGAATTTTTTAGTGTACAGGTGAGTCCTAGCCCAGAATGGAAGTCATTGATTTTTCTCAGTAGTGTTGCATAGGGAATTGGTCTGACCTAGGGATTTGCCCAGAGAATCCTCTCAATTTTCATCTTTTTCAAGTACAAATAGAGCAGGTGGGTGCAATTGGAGGACCACTTCTTGCATATTGGGGGTTGGGAGACAATGAAATATAAAATTCAAGAAGCTGTCAAGGTTATTGTGCCTAAAATGCAAAGTATGGTGTTTACTGAAAAGCATAGAACAGAACAATGTGCATCAAGATTTAATATAAATTACTCATAATATAACAATATTGTAAAACAAGACTGAAAGGGGAAGAACATGTAAAACACCTATTGTTACAGGTAGGCTAGCAGGAGGAGGTGAAAAGTGGGGAAACTTATAAACTGATTTACTCTCTATTAACATTTTTATCAGTGGATCTTGGTACAAACAGGAAACCGTAATAGAGTGAGATTCTTCATTTTAGCACAGAGCTTCACAAATGATTAAATGAATTCTGAAGGTAATCGGCTGTTTTAGTTCGTGTACACTTGAACTCCTACAGCTCTTCTGGTTTAGCTGTTCATGTGGGTGTGTGAATAGTACCCTTCCATCATTCATCTTATTCGGTACCTTCTCCCCAGTAATAGCTGCTAAACCCTTCTTGCCATGTTGAGATTTATAAAAATCTTGCTGATGCAATGTCTGTCAAACTTGCTTTAGAATATTTTAATGCATTATAGATAACTTCATTAAATTTGAACTTGTTTTGCCAAATAGGATTAAGATTTTAAAGAACAAGACAGAACAGTTTATCTTTGCCATTAAAGTTGTGCTTTTGGTTTTACTCACAAACTTATTAGGGAGATCAAACTGACTCTGCTTGTTAGTATGGGCAGGAATTGTATGTAACAATTTTAGACCATAGCCAAAATATCCTAATGTCAATGTGTCCAAAGGATGTTATCTGAAAAATGACTAACATGGAGGCTTATTTTGCATCTAACTGACCTTGTAAAAATGTGTTGGTGCTTTAGAATACCTGAGAGGAAGTAAACTTTCAGATCAAAATGGCTATGATCGGCTCAATTTTTTTCATACCGTATGGAAAGGATTCATCTTTATTCTTATTCTTTGTTCTTATATTATTTTCATTGTGTCACTTTGCATGGTTTTAAACCAGCTACTATATTGGATGTGAAAGAAATCTTCTGTAAAAGTCAGGTTAAGTTGACTTACTTTCTCATCTTCTCTTTCTTTTAAGTAGTTGGCATAGACATGTAGCTTGTACTTAGAAGAAAAATGTTAATCATTCAACTTGCTTTTATGTATGATTTAAAAGATCTCTGGTTATGGCTCAGTGGCAGTCCTGTTTCTTATTATTCTGTTACTAGCTAGTAGTTTCTGCACATTCTTTAGGTAGGTTTCTTTGAGTTAAACATCAACATATTTCATAACAAAAACATGAAGAATCAGAATTCATTTTATGACTAAATGTATCCTACTCCACCCTCAACATACAGTGAAGAATGAGATTTTTTTTAAAGCAGCGGAGGGATTTGTCAGATATGCCATTAAAGTTTAATACAAGATGTGTCTAAAACCACTAGACTACTTTGAAAATTTCAACCAAGGCATTTACTTGAATTACTAGCAGTACCTAGAACTGCTTTTACCATATGGATGAATGTTATGTATTAAACCAAAACAGGAAGCGAAGTCCTTTAAGCCAGTGTAACTCTGAATTTAAGAATGTAATTGACTCTTCTAAAAGTGAAATTGACAAGTGCTGAAAGTGTTTTCCTGACTGGAGACTCTTTCTATATTCCTCTTCTGTAGTGTATGGTCTGAAATTGGTGTAATTCCATACTAAGTGAGATCATACATATTTCCCTCATCTCTCTTTTAACTATTTATTTATTTATTTATTTATTTAAGTGTAGTGGTACAGCCAACTGCCACAGTGCATTAATCACAGGAATGGATGGTGTCAAAAGCTT